GTTGCTGGCCAGGCAGCATTTATTGCCCATCCCTAATTGCCCAGAGGGCAGTTCAGAGTCAGCCACAGTGCTGTGGGTCTGGAGTCACGTAGGCCTGACCAGGTAAGGATGGCAGTTTCCTTCCCTGAAGGACATTAGCGAACCAGATGGGTTTTTTCCTGACAATTGGCAATGGATTTATGGTCATCATTCGCATCTTAATTCCAGATATTCATTGAATTCAAATTCCTCTGTCTGCTGTGCCAGGATTTGAACCCAGGTCCCCAGAACGTTATCTGGGTCTCTGGATTAACAGTCCAGCAATAACACCACTAGGCCATTGCCTCCCCAGTCGTTGGGATGTGCATAGGTTTTGAAAATGGGTAGACTCCTAGTTTGAATTGGAGTTAGATTTTCAGAAGGAAAGGCACTTTTGGAAGAGATGTCAGTAACTAAGGTTTTGCAGTAGATTTGTAGCTTGGGTTGTGGGTGTTAAGGTTGGTTGGCTCACCGAGCTGGTTTGTTGTTCCGCAGACGTTTCGTTACCACGCTTGGTAACAACATCAGTGCAGCCTCCGATGAAGCATCGGTGTGTTTTCCCGCCTGGAGTCCGTTGAGCTGGATTGCCTCACTTCTGGTTTTCCTTCGTAGTGGAGTGTATATGGGGTCGAGTTCTATGTGTTTATTAATGGCTTTCTTCGTGGAGTGCCAGGCTTCTAGGAATTCCCGTGCTTGTCTCTGCTTAGCTTGTCCCAGGATTTTGGTGTTGTCCCAGTCGAATTGGTGGTTCTCCTTATCCATGTGGATTGAGATGAGTGAGTATGGATACGAAGGAATCCACTACGAAGGACAACCGGAAGTGAGGCAATCTATCTCAACGGACCCCAGAGTTTAAAAACCAGGCGGGAAACGACACCAACGCTTCATCGGAGGCTTGCACTGATGATGTTACCCAGCATGGTAATGAAACGTCTGCGGAACAACAGACCAGCTAGGCGAGTCAACCAACCTCAAGACGTCAGTAACCTTCATAACTAAATCAAAAGGGAAAATGTTCAGTCTTAGCAGCTGTCGTGGCTCAAATACTTCAGTGATAGCACTTGGGAATTCCTAATTCAGTGCTTGCCTTTCAGTTGTTTTTCTTTATTCATTCACGGGATGAGGGCGTTGCTGGCCAGGCAGCATTTATTGCCCATCCCTAATTGCCCAGAGGACAGTTCAGAGTCAGCCCAATGACTGGGGAGGCAATGGCCTAGTGGTATTATTGCTGCACTGTTAGCAGCAACTCAAGATTGCCCAAATATAGATTATAAGCATCAATATGAAAAGAGAATCATTACAGAAGAGAGTGAGAATGGAGCTACCTCTAGAAAATAAAGCAGATAATACAACATGGGGAGAGAGATAGTAGGAACTGCCGATGCTGGAGAATCTGAGATAACAAGGTGTAGAGCTGGATGAACACAGCAGGCCAAGCAGCATCAGAGGAGCAGGAAAGCTGACGTTTCGGGTCTAGACCCTTCTTCAGAAATGGGGGAGGGGAAGGCGATTCTGAAATAAATAGGAAATAAATAAATTTATTTTATCTTTGGGTGACCCAAAGACATGAAGCTAGTCCTGTTTGTAGCAAAGCTTCATATGCATATTCCAATCACCTAGATGTCTGTTCAAGTATGGCAAGATTTATCATCTACTTGTGGGAATGAATAAATGTTATCCATTACCTTGGGAAGCCAAGAAAATAAACATTAGTTAAAAGTATCCAATCTGCTGAAACTTTGACACTGGTAGAAAATGTAACAACAGGGAGATATTTGTCCAAAATTCTAAAATAAATCCTAATATAAGATTTTCAGTCTGAGAGAAGTTTGCCTATAGAATGTTATGTGGATAATGGTTGTTTGGGATAATGTATGTTCACAAAAGGATCTGAAGTGGATTGGTACATGTCAGCAGTAGTCAGAATGTTTCTGAAAAAATTGCTTGCCCTAGAGAAATTATTGGAAATTCTTGAACACCTGACTCTTTGAGGAGTAACAAAAATATGAGGGAAAAATATCAATTTTTGTTTCAGTCACTTTGTGATTAAATTACTTTTGCTCGAAGAAGAGGGAATATGAAAGGTTTGTATTGTATAGAATATAAAAAATGTTATTTTGATCAGTTGTATAGTAAACTATGTAAAATCATATTTACTTCGAGTAGTTTTAGCCAAGGGTTGATTTTGTATATCTTCAAAAGCTTTTTTATTCAAAAGACAAGGGGATTTTCTTTTCTCAATCTGATATAACATCTCTATGACCATCAAATCCTGAGGTGAAACTTGAACCCAGCTTTTTAGCCCAGGGAAAGGGACACACTACCACTACCACACGTTATTTTAAGTTAACCATTTTGGACATGCTGTGGCAAACCTCACGGATAGGTGAGATTTGAATCCAAACCATCTGGCTCAAGGGGAATTGTTATTGCACCATAAGACCTTTTTGGATAAGACGGCAATATGTTAATACAGCAAGTAGTTAAGCAAATAATGGGGGTTAATAAATCAATTAACTGACTGTGTAGATAAAAATGGGAAGCTGTTGGAATGGCTGTGTGCAAGGAGCTGTTAGACTGAGTGGTTAATAAACTCCACTCAAACAAAGGTATCTCAGTTTCTGTCTCACTGGCTTGAATCCATGTTGGCACCTTGATGCCCACCTCTGACATAAATCTTATCAGCTTCAGTTAATGAGATCCCTATTACCTTTCAATTCCAAGATTCTTTTCATTTGGAAAATATTCTGACTTCACTGCTTTGGTTTCAATGTGAACACCATATTCCATTTGCCATAGATTTATCCACTTAAATCTAACATTGTCCATTTCAAGGCCTTTTATTGCTACCTACGTTAATTACTGCACTACCTAATTTAGTTCCAAGGAAACTTAGATATGTAAAAGCAAAATACTGTGGATGTTGGAAATCTGGGATAAAAACAAAGCGCTGCAGGAACTCCAGTATGACAGTATTCATGAAGAGGGACCAGGTATGACACCTCTTCAGGACATTCTGAACCACTAGTTAGATTCTGCGAATTGAATGCATGTTCGTTATCTCGACTGTCTCTTCCCTCTTCACCAATTACCTAGTGATGTAAATAGCTTGACTTCATTTTTATGTACTCTTATCTTTGCTATCAGTTTTAAGTGTGAAACTATTGTTCTGTGCTTAAACAGGTTTTTCTTTGGTAAAAACAAAGTGATGATGGTGGCACTGGGAAAAGAACCAGCAGACGAATACAAGGATGGTTTGCACAAGGTAAGCTCTCTGAATTGGCCGTGTATGTGACCAGTGAATCTTCTTTTGAGCTTAAATTTCCATAATGAAAACTTGTTTAGTGGGTTAATGTTTTCAGTTTGTCTTGCCTCAGTTATGGTGAAAGGTCATTGTGAAATATTAATCCTGCATTGCATTCTCCTAATGCAGCCTGATCTGAATACTTCCAGCATCTGCAGAATCTTTTCTCTCTTTAGGTCAGTAAGCAGTTGCAAGGTGAAGTTGGTCTTCTGTTCACTAATCGAACAAAAGTGGAAGTGATCGAGTGAGTCTTTTTTTCTGTCCACTTTCTTTGACCTGCTTCAGCTACTCCCATTCCTTTTTAATCCTTTAGTCTTTCTACTGAGTAACAGGCTGTCTTGCCCAAATTGACAGGTGGTTTGAGCAGTACACAGAGTCTGATTTTGCTCGTGCTGGGAATGTAGCTACAATGGCCGTTACACTCGATGCTGGGCCCCTGCCACAGTTCACACACTCTCTTGAGCCACAACTGCGACAGCTTGGGTTACCAACCTCTCT